AAAATCATAATTTACACTTTTAAATAGTTTGTCAAAAAAAATTGTTTTCATTCATTATTTAATTGTTCATTAGTTTAACAATTTGTTACAAACAAATATTGACCAACGTTATTTTTTTTTCTGAAGCAGAAAAAAAAATAAAAACAGCTATATATAAAAAAGTGTCATAATTTTTTTTGTCGCCGTATCGTATGATATTAGAAAGTATTAGGTATAATAAATGAAAAAAATGTTGCCCGTTTTTTGAAGAAAGAATGCGTAAATGTAGTTCACAGATTGAATAATAGTCTAAGTAAATTCATTGAAAACAATAAAAACAAAACTTGGGTGTCTGATAGATCAGGAGTATAAAAGCTGACTTGTGACTCTTGCCCAAAACTGTATATTGGCCAAACAGGGAGAACATTTTCCCAAAGAATTAAATAACATGGAAGTAGTTTTGTAAATAGAAAGACCAATTCCACATTTGCCAACCACCTTTTGGCAGAAAGACGTGAGTTTAATCATGAATAAGGCGTGTTGCATTTAGAAGAGAAAAGTTTGAAACTCAATCTTTCAGAGTGTGTATTAATCAATAGATTAATAGATAGATTCATTACAAACTCAGGTACTTGAAATCTAGGTACTTCAAATTGTAAAATGGGTTATATTAAGTATTGAATATGAAGAATATAGTTAGTAAAGGCACGCCGGAAGAAGTCATTGTATGGCGAAACACGTGTTGCGTTTTTGTAAAACTGTTTGGTGAAAATCTCATAATAAAGTTTTATTTCGTACCACCTGACGTGCCTTTCTACTTGCCGAACCCTGGACATATTTTCTATAACCGAGCTACCGACCTGAATAAAAAAAAGCAACGTGAAACTAAGCTTCAAGTGGGCTGAAGTATAATAAACATGTAGTAATGAACTTCTGTTAACCGAGGACTTGAGACCTTTTATAACAAAATATGAAAGGTTGAGTTTTTTCACACACTGTGAATTTATAATGATAAGTTGATTGTACCTAAAAAATTATCATTATCAGAAGCAGATAAACATATGTTTTCAATATTAATATTTGCGAATCAAAAAAGACATCGACGATTCATTCAGTAGGAGCTGATTACTATTACACCACTGTATATGGTTACAGTGGTGCACCATCAACTTTTTTTTTATACGGACCTGTCTTTTTCATTACAGATATTGATAAAGCGATAAATTAACAATCCATAGGTATATCACATTTGATATTTTTTTAGCGTTTCGTTTCAAATAACCACCATCATCAGTGACAACAATCAAACAGGATACACCACAAAAACAAACTTTTGTTTATTTTCCACGATATTCCTTTATTGTTGCCTAGTTTCGGCTATTACACCATTTTCAAAACTAACTGATTACATTTAAATCTGACTAATTCATATCTAAGTTGCCTATCCTATCATACTTATGATGCACTGTTTGGAACCTTTGGTGAAGTAATGAATACAGGCTGATTCACGATGGCTGGCACATTAGACGTTTCTGGTGAACCAGACAACGGATCACTTTGAAAATTTAATGGAGGGCATATTCGGACATTCTCTAGCCAACTAAAATATTTTCGACAATGCGGTGTTGCCGCTTCTATTAGAAAGCAGTAGCAACTTTGATTTTTCAAA